GTTGTTTTTTTTGGGGATTTTCCTTTTTTTTTTTTTTTTTTTTTTTTTTGATTTAGCTGCTATAAAGATAAGGTTACAGAGATTGTCTGCAAGCCAAAGGTTCAGACTGCAGGCTGATATGCAGATGTGGGCTCAGTATCTGCCCACAAATGCCCACAGCCTCCCGTGCTTGTGTGGAGCACAAGTCAGGATAGAGAAAGGTCCAAATTGCCTTTAGCATCACGTCAGCAAGTTCTGCTTATCAAAAGGAGTCGTTAATTGATGTTTGCTGATGGCTCACGTCGCGCTGAGCCTCCTCTGGCGTATGCGAGTGCTGTGGCCGGGCGGGTGCAGGAGGTGCCATGGGGAAGGCCCCGATCCGGAGCAGGCAGGGGGGCAGCCCCCGTGCCGCCCCCGCACCTCTCCCCGCCGGGGCGGTCCCCGTCCACACCCGCTCTCCGCAGAGCCGCCGTTGTTCCTTAGCTCTTCTGTAGCACCCGCGATTTTTTTGCCGCGTTTCTGTGGTTTTGGAGCAGCTCCGGAGGCGTGAGCGCGGGTGCGAGCGAGGGCTCTCCCGGCCTCCCCGGCAGCTGCTGCCGGGCAGGGCGTCGCATCCCGGGAACCGGCACCGCTTCACACCGAGGGGCAAACGGGCGCTGCACCCCTCTGCCTGGCTGGGGTGTTACGTACCCGGAGCTGAAAACAAAATCCCAAGAGTTCCCGTGTTGCTTTGCGCTTGATTAACCTTTATCACAGAGACGGGAACGAGACAGATCAGGGTCTGGGTTGATCCGGTGAGCAGAAACTCGGCGGTTTTGACGTGGGGCTGTGCTTGGCTGCTCTGTGGTTTGGCTTGTGCATGACAATTCCTTTCGTGGGTCTGCATTTACCCTGGGAAGTGTATTTACACTTGCCTGCTTTCTCGTGTCTCTCGTTGAGATAATTACTGTTTTTGGTATCTAATTACTCCTTTACTTTACATGAAGCCTAGTGATTTGAAAAGTCTCCTCATTTTGAAAGCATTGAAATCACACTGCAGAGCACAGGATTACTCACAACAGGACAGCGGTTTAAAAAATTGCGTCTAATCTAATAATTTTTAATTGCATAAATTAATTTTCCTCTAACTAGTTTGAATTAATTAATATTGAAATGCAATTTCTAAACCTGGCTGTGTAAAAACATCAGTTGTCCTGCATCGGCATTTTTGTAGCCTTCGTTTCAGTCTTTACGAGGTGAGTTCGGGTGTTTGCATAAGTAATTTCCTAATTAGTTGAGCCGTAAGGATTGAGGGGGCCAGCAGCGGGCAGGAGCATGCCGTGGGGAGGCAGCCCAACACGTTAAGGTTAAACATCTCCTCTTGTAATCGAGTCAGGATTTGCTCGGGTAGCCTCAGGGTCCTGTAAAGACTTTCTCTGAGATTCCCCTCGGATTATTCAGCCAATATTTTCAGTCTGTCGGGCAGAAACGGCTTTGTTCATAGGAGAGAGATGAAAGCCAGGGTCCCGTGTCAGAAAGCCCTCGCCGTGAATGCTCCCAGCCTTTGCGTGGAGCGAGGGTGAATGTCTGCTGCAGCATCCTGAGCTGGGCTCTGGGCTCGTTAGCTGGACACTTACGAACAAAAAGCACCATCGTTCCCCCTGGCCAGCGCCAAGGGGCCCTTGGTGTGGCCCCGGCTTCATGCCGCGACCCAAATTCCCCCAAACACAATGCGTCTGCTTCCAAAGGTGTCCGGGAGCCCTGATCCTCCCTCGGGAGGCCAGAAGCCAGGTTTCTAACGCGGAGCAGCACCAGGGAGGTCAGACTTGCCCCAGAGATGTCTGCAAGCCCAGTGGGATCGTGGCTGTATCACTGGTTTGGTCCAAAAACCTGGGAAATCGAGGGTGCGTTCAGCCCACCGCTTCTCCTCGGCGCTGGGAGCGAGGGCTTCGTCGCAGCAGAACAGTCGTCCTCGCCTTGTTATCAGCTTTGACTGCATCTCGGGGATCAATGGAAAATATTTTATTATGCCTTTTTTGTCTATTTGAAATCAAGCTAGAGACTGATCAAATAAAAAGACCATCTTCTAAGCTGACAGTTTTATTTCTGCAACTCGGGGAAAAAAAAAGTCATTCTGT